TTTCATAGGCAAAATTTTGAAATAAAAACAAATTTTTCTTAATTTTGTTGATCAACCTGTCACACATTCTAGACGTGAATATTTACGCAATATATCGTGTATCAATTATTAAATTATGATGATCTGCAAAAGCGCAAAATCCGCCCATATTAATATGAGTACCGAGTACTATTGACCGGATTTAGTTTTAAGCTGGTACAGTAACGATATGTAGTGCAAAATGAAAATCATGGTCAGTGTAACATATTAAAAAAAAAATTTATATATAAAAAAAAAAAATTTACGTTACAGGAAATTAATTGAAAAAATAAATAATGGGATCTCTAAGCCAAAAACCTTTAAACTTATCAATTCATAATGATTCCACCGTTATTAAATCTTCTACACCAACAAAAAAACGGACTAAAACACGTTCCCGAACTTTAGTAGCTCCAACACTAGTAACAGTCAAAAATCCCAAAACTCTTTGCCCTTTTGTTCTCGAATATTCTATTCATACTGGGTCTAATAAATTTAATAGGGAATTGTTAAATGTATTTTCACAAATTGTTGAACCTGATAAATTTCTTGTTATACCAGTGTTCTTAAAATGCCAAAATGATTTGGTTGGAATTGGTGAAAGAATCGACAGAGAAAAAGATGAAAAATTGGAAGATGTGAGTATTTAATCATTGATAGTAATCATTGATAGAGGATAGCTTTCTTTATAAAATTTATTTTAATCATAAAATGGTTGGATTTATTTCTTTAGTTTGTTGAATGGGGTAAAACAATTTGTCAAAAATTAAGAGGACTCGGGTATTGGGCTGATCTTACCGATCCTGCTTCTGGATATCCTGTAAGTATCGTAAATGTCTTACGTAATTTATCCTTTGTTGAATTTTTTATACTCTCAAAATTGTTATAAATCGACTAAATTATTAATTTAATAAATCAGATCTTCTCCGATCCTGGACCATCTACCTATCCAGACGTTCATGGAGCCGAGCAACTTTTAAAATATGACATTTTTAATGCAGGGTGTTGTCATATTTTACTACATCCAAAATGGGGTAGTAAAGTTTATCCTGGAACTTTATTTACTACAGCTAACGAAAATTGTATTAAACAAGTTATTAATGAAAGCGTTTTTCATCATTCACTTTATGAAGATAATGGTGATTTTAGGAGTTAATTTAGTTGGCACAATCGTTTAGAAAAACTGTCAGAGATTATGGACTCTATTTTATTGTTGTGTTAAGATATAAATAGAATTATTGATATAAATAGATTAGATTTTTGTCAAAATATCAATAATAATAATAATAATAATTAATAAGTAATAGAATCAATAAAAGTATATTAACTTTTAAACATCTGACAAAATTATATTGTGCTTTCATATTATATTATACCGTATAGTCGCTAAATAACGCGCAGGGGCGTTGTTTCGAATTTCGGCCCGAATTAAGCTTAATTTAGCCCGAAATTCGAAATTACACCCCTGCGCGCTATTTCGCGACTATACGGTAAGAAGTAAATTCAGTAAATCGGTGATGTGTCAATATATAGTATAATATCGCATTTATTATATTTAAAGTAGTTGAATTGGTACTGACAGCAATATATATACAATTATAATTCATATAACGAACATTCGTATGGGCTTGGTGCTGGAAAGGAACGAAATTGACAAAAAAAAAATTCACAAAAAATTAATTATCTCACAAATCATCGATCAGAATCGCATGATTTTGATATCATTCAATTCGTCTCATCAAAATCATGCGAACTGATCGATAGTTTGTGAGATAATTAATTTTTTGTGAAGAATTTTTTTTTTTTGTCAATTTCGTTACTTTTTCCAGCACCAGGACCATATATAGCCAGTCTACTCATAAAACTGTATAAGTTGCTGCTAAAAAAGTATTATTAATATTGATATAATAGATTTCATCAATTAAATGTATACAAATAATTGATACTTAGAATCTGGCGTAAGTACTATTTTATACCGATTAAAAACGTTAAATGACAAGTATTACTTCATTTGCTATTTTTTTTTTCATTTGGAATATTAATTAATGGACATTTATTTATTTCACCTAGTATTTAGCCAATTGAAGTGCAAATTTTGTTTACACATATTAACCCGAAGAAGTCAAATATAAAGAAAATGCATACTGTATTATATAAGCGCGAAATAACGCGCAGGGGTGTAATTTTAAATTTTGACCTAAATTAAGCTTAATTCTGGCCATTATTCGAAATGCCCCTGCGCGCTTGTACGGTAAATATAAAAATGTCAGCTTAAACTGTCTTAATTACTTTAGAAATCCTTGATTCATTAAGGGATATTAGGGATATTATTCAATTTGCAAAGTCACAAAATGAGGGAGCTTATAAAAGATGTGATATTCACTATTCTACGGACTACATTAAAGAAACTACCTATTAAGAAGGTTCAATTTTCTCAGCTTGTAAGCTTTATTATCAATTCAACATCGATTCATATAATTAGAAAGTGGGTAATAAAATTTTTTCCCTATAGTGCAAAATAACAAAGCCTAAATTTATGATATAATGCATCTTTGTTTTTAGTTAAATTTTAGTAAATGCCGTCCCAATTATCAATTGTGACTATAATATTATTTAGCATTTAAATCTAAAGTTTACACACTAGTATGCACATACAAATTGAATTAATGTTTCTTTGTGTGACTGAGTTGCTAGTGCCTTTATTTTCGATCAATAATAAATGAATTTCATGAATGCAGTGCTTCTATGAACCCAAACTGAACTGAACTAGAGATTGGAACCCGATCAAAAAAAAAAGTTGACCGGTCGAAACTTATATTACAGCTGTTTTCATAAATTCTGGGACATCTGGCAAAAATTGACCGACCGGAAATTTGCTGATTCGATAAGTTTTTGATTCGGCAGTTATCATTACCGAAATCACAAATTTATCGAATCGGCAAATATTCGGCGGTCAGTTTTTTGCCAGATGTCCCAGAATTTATGAAAACAGCTGTATATTTCATGATTTTTCAGCCGATTCGGTTAAGTTATTGATTCGGCATGATCCGTATAATAAAAGCTATTTTTATATCATACGTATAATGATTGTCATAACAATAATAACGATTTTAAATTTTCATTCAAATGCTTGTCCAAAAATGTTTGGTGTGCTTTAGTTTGTACGAAAATTTATGGAAAAAAACTGGTTATGTCAACCAATAAACCTTAACAAGAAGGAATCGATTATAAATTAGACTTTTAATAACAAATATATTACTCGAACAGGTACCGTTATTAAAAAAGCTAATATGATCGACTGGTTTAAAAATGAATCTTGGGTTAAGATTTAAGCAACCAAGATATTATTATTTGTCGAATGCATGAAGAATTATGACAAACGAAATCCAAGTAAAAAATTTTATATGTTTTTATATTTGTATATACATTTTTTGTCCGACAAGAAACAAAAAATAATTAAATGCTTTCGTTTGAAAGAAATGTATCTTGCCAAAGAATAGGGATTGAAATTTAGTTTAATTTTTTAAAAATAAATTTTCATCTTCAACAAGAAATGAAAAATAATTAGAAATGAATAAATGCTTTCATTTGAACAAAAATGGATCTTGCCAAAGAATAGGAATTGAAGTTTTATACTTTTTAAAAACTAATTTTCATCGAAAAATAATTGGATCTTGCCAAAGAATATGAATTGAAATTTTATGACTTACAAGTGCAACAAGTAATATTTAGTCTTATTGTAATATATATTAGCCACCTGATCTTATTAAATTACGTATTTGATATATCTGTTACTGAATCTTATTATAACTTTGCAGAAACTTTGATTTTTGCTAAATATGTTTACAATATTGCTACAATATTGCTATAATATAATTAAGGTATTACTAATATTATTATAAGATAAATATATATTAAACATATGTAGTGCTCGGCACGATCAAACAAAAATTTGACAGTCAAATACCTGTTAATACTTATGTTAAATCGGATGTCAAACGATTGCAGATCAACCAAAGCTAAATATATACTATTGGTTAATCTGCAATCATTTGATGTCCGACTTAATCACAAGTATTACAAGTATTTGACTGTCAAATTTTTGTTTGATTGTGCCGAGCACTAACTGCGTTATTATATAATTTTTTTCTTCAACACTCACGAGTTTACAAAGATATAGCTCATGACTTGAGGAAGTTTGATCGAATATTAGAGATCCTCATTAATAAAAGAAAAGTAAAGTTTGATAGATAGAAGTTGTGTTTAATTATACTAAGAAATCTATATTTTTCAGTATAACCTAACATTCAAGTAGTGGCTGTTAATATTTTCAAAAACCTTTGTAACAATTATTTGATAGAATTGATTTGAAAATGCAAATTCGTTATATTGAAAATTTTTTATGAAATAATTTGCAGCACACCAAGCAACTGAACACGGAGTATCGAAAAACGAATTGTAGCACTAAGTCATTCTCTTGCAGAAAAAATAATTCGCTATATTCAAGAAGAATGCAAAAATTCCTAAAATATATGAATATTTGAATTTATTAATTTACATATGCAAATTTAGTTTGTGTTAAGCAAGCATGTAATATAAATCGGTAAATGCATAAAAAGACGTGTCACTCTTAATTTACGAATAACGCATGTCAATAATTGCCATGACGTGAACATTTATCTGCTATACCAGATACTTACGTACGTACATACGTCACTAATTTCAATTTGGTCACATTTAGATATCACTAAATGAGCACCATGATCCTATACGAAATTCTATGACAATGGCTTTTTTGCTCACAAAAAAATCGAGAAAAAACTTTTATAGAAATATCTCAACGATTACCAAACAACAAATTTTTTGGCAGTTATTGAAATATTATAATTTAAAATAAAGTCCCTTTTCTACTGACTTCGTCACATATTATTTTCCTACTTCTTTTATATCTTTCATTTAAATGGTTTAAGTATGATGGTATGTTTTTTTTCCCCCTTTCGAATCATTCAACAGTTCTTGTTAAATGACATTACATACGATAATTGGATTTTAGTGCTAGAAGGTAAGGAAAAACATATTTGATAAATTTTTCGTCATAAATTTACATAATTATACGTATTAAACCACATTTATGGTAACGTATAAATTTAAATATATCACGACAATTGTACAACCATCTCATCTTTATTGTGAATATTAGGATACTGTCTCACAGAGTTCTTTGAGTTCTAACTTTAAAACTGATATTGCGAGCAATAAATCCTAAAATATGATTATTCGACCGAATCGATATCGGTAAATTACCGATTCGGTTGATCAATTGTTTCAAGATTTTAGAATAGTAGTAAATCTCTACCAACATGCCATATGCCAACGAGACTCATTTCGGGAAAATTTTTTATTGGTACTTGATTTTATCGGAAAACTGGTAATGATCAAGGTTTGATTGGAAATTGAGATAATTAAAGATTTTCCAAACTTCAAAATGCTCGACCAGCAACAGTTTTTCAATTTTCCAAATAACGATTATAGTCAACTATGCACTATTCTAGACATTGGTGTCACATTTTTCACAAATGTGGCTTTATAAAGATTACAGACATACAAATATACTAATGTCATAACGCATTAAAGAAAAGATGCATTCAAAGATGACAAAGAAGTGATAGTCACTGTTTGTAACACTAAGCGAATTTTTTTTTAAAAAAAAAAAAAAAAATGAAATAATAACTAACGTTAAAGAATTTTTTGAACATGTGATTCATATTCAATGTTTCTGGTGACTTCTGAGGAAATCATTTATTGATAAGATCGGAGGAATAATAAGGTCATCTTTGCCTTAATAGAACGGAAAAAAAGAACTAATTTGGTGATAAATTGATGGATTTACTAATAGATGAAAAATATCAGAATTTGATAGATTCACACTAATACAAAATGAAGACAATTCCGAATGATTATTGCTTCTTTAAAGATAGTCAATCTTGTTATATCTTTACAATTGCATAGATCTTTTCATTTACCAACGCTTTAAGACTTAAATATCGGACAATGTGCATTTACATATAAATTCCGATACTCTTGACGAGATCTTGCGTAATGATCTGCATGTGATATCACATGCAATTGATGCATGAGAATTCTATAAATTTAAAT